GGTAAGGGTAGGTGGTTGGTTCGTGTGCGCGGGCGGGCGGCGGCCGCGCGTGGTCCGTCGGGCGGAGTGTGTGGAGTGCGGAGAGGTGTGTGTGTGTGTGTGTGTGTGTGTGTGTGTGTGTGTGTGTGCATGTGTGCGTGCGCGCACCCTCCCAGTCTCCCGGGCTGCCCCACTGTGTCCACCTGGGGTGCTCTTCAGCCCCGGGCTTGGGGTACAGGCCAATACTAGGTTCAAAACAGAGAAGGGCAGCCTCACGTCTTCTCCCTCAACAGGAGGGCCTCCCCCTTTCTGGGCCTCAGCCTTTCAGTGTCCTTAGCTCATTTATTCTGGGTTCTGGATTCCAGGGGGCCAGAGCAGCTCTGAATCTCCCCACAAGTAGGGCCCCAGCTTCCCCCTCTCCTTTATGTAAGGCTCCTGGAGTCCTGGTGCTTAAAAAATATGAAAATTCAAACATATAGATTACAGTTACCAAAGGGGAAAGGGTTGGGGAGGGATAAATTATGAGTTTAGGATGAGCAGATAGAAACTACTATGTACAGAATAGATAAACAACAAGGTCCTGCTGTAGAGCACAGGGAACTATATTCGGTATCTTGTAAGAACCTGGAATGGAAAAGAATCTGAAAAGGATATATATGTATGTGTATAACTGAATCACTCTGCTGTACATCAGAAACGGACACAACATTGTAAATCAACTCTACTTCAGTAAGAAAGAAAGAGGAGGAGGGAGGGAGGGAGGAAGGTAGGAGGGAAGGAAGGGAGGGAGGAAGGGAGAGACCAGTCCTGCCAACACCTTGATCTTGGACATCTAATTCTAGATGTCGGACTGTCCAGGGTAAAGGGCGTTGTGTCCTGCCGTGGAGAGAACAGAGCAACTCGTCTACCCCAGGACAGAACCCTTTTCCTTGCTCCCTTGGGCGGTGCTCTTCCCACCAGGGGAAACAAGTCATCAAACCCTGCATCTGACAGAGGGGGGATCAGGGTTCCCTCTACTGAAAGACAGCACAGGGCACTGCTGGGTGGGTTCTAGGAACTGCCGGGGAGGGCAACAAGGAAGGCTGGGAGGCCTCCAGAAGGTAAGGCTCTCCTGCCCTCCACCCTCATAGGTCCTCAGGCCTTCTAGAGAACTTTCTGCCTTTAGGTAAAACCAGGCCACACCTTGGATCTGCCACTGGGTGTCGACAGTTTTTAGCAATTTTAGGCTCGGGCTGAGGGATACAGTAGCCACTGGCCACAAGCGCTGACTGAGCACCGCAGACGTGGCAGGTTTGAACTGAGACATGCTGTAAGTGTGAAATACACACTTGATTTTGAAAACAATCCCAAAAAACAGTTTGAACTATCTCATTCATTATTTTTATGTTGATTACATTATTTTAATATTTATAATATTTTGGATCTGTTGGGTTAAATAAAACATGTTACAAAAATTAACATCACCTGCTTCTTTTTGCCTTTTTAATATGGCAGCTAAAACTTTTGAAGTTACATGTATGGCTCCATTATATTTCTGTTGGATTGCACTGATCTAAATAGAGTCATAGCTTGTTCCCTGGGACCTGGCATAATCGACTCCAGCCTCTCTTCACTTTATCAGGAAGTTCTTCCTGATATCTAACCTAAATCCCTGTAGCTGTATTCAGAATCCCTGCCCTCTTGTCCAATTCTCAGTAGAGATGGAAGTGAATACAGTCCCACCTTCCTCGGGATAACCTTTCATGCCTTTAAATATCTTTACACGTTTCCAGAAGAAAGGCTGAACAGTGCCGTTCTCATCGCTGATGTCAGGGATCGGGTGGAGGGTTCATTTGGCACTGGGAAATCATCTGGTCAAAGGCCCTGCCACATAAGGACATTCCCAGAATATTCTTCAGAGTGGGCTATTCAGAGCTAAACAAACAGCTCCCCTGAGCCTGTGGAGGGTGAGGGAAGCCAGCGCTATTTCAGGCTTTCTCCTCTGGCCCCGTCAGATCTGCTGAAGACAGGAATGCAGCTGGTTTCCAGAATTCTCCTGTCCAGCAAGGCTCCCAGAAGGCCTGAGCCAGTCTTGAAATGTATCACCCTACCTAGGCCCCAAAAAGGCTAGATCTTCTAAAGACCACCAGGCTGGGGCCACCCTCTACATTTGATTTTCTTCTATTTCATGGACAGCAAGACCAAGGCACAGACAGGTGGAGTGTTTGCCTCTGTGGATGAAAGCAGGTTGAGCACGGGATCTCGGCCTCAGACAGGCCCAGTCAGGCGCTCCAGCTCCATCACCTGCTGGCTGGGTGACTGCGTGAGGTGTTCGACCTTTGGAATCCACTTCCTCACCCGTAAAACTGAAACAATGTGCAATCTGGTGGGGAGGGTCCGGGGGTAGAGTTCACGCTTAGCATGCATGAGGTTCTGGGTTCAAGTCCCAGTACCCCCATTAAATAAATAAATACATAAATTGACCTAATTACCTCCCTCCCTGCCAAAAAAAATCCAAAAAAAAACTTAAAAAAAAAGGAAAGAAAGCCACCGACTGTTGTC